GAGTAACAAGGATACGCACATGGAAACGTTTATGAGAATAGTTATGAACAATTATCCAACCACACACAGATATACTAAATTGAGTTAAAGTTTACTTTAAGAAATAGCACAGTCCAATAAACGGTCCAGGTCAAATACGTTTAACAGTCCAAAAAAATATCCAATTACAAAGTCTTCTTACTGGTTGCCTTTGTCATTTACAGTAAAAAAAGACATCAAAGTATAAGTACAGTATAAATACAACAGAGAATCTTAGATAGCAACAGAATGTCAAAGAGACAGAATGTCAGAGAGAGCAAGCTATGATCTCTAGCTCCCTCTTATGGTAGTCTGCAGTATAATCAACCAATCAGCATATAGTATAAATCAATACAGTGATTTTGTCTTAAAGCTACAAACATACATTGTTGGTTTATATATTGCCAACCCAACTAATTGGTGTACAGATTCCTAACAGTTTTAATGGCCTTCCTTTGCTTGTGTCGCCCAGCCTTCTCCTTCTAAGTACTTAATAGGTTTGTGGTAAATCAGCACTCCCTTTTACTGAGGGGCCTGTTTCCCAGACTTCAATCACTTCCCTGGCTGTTTTTGTGCCTGCTCGTCCAACAATCTTACTAACTGCAAAATTGAATATGTGACCATGTTCACTGTTGGACTCTACAAGATACTTTTCAAAATTACTGTTCAATGTATAAAGCGATTCAGAAAGAATATGCATAAGACAATACCAAAAGAACTGGAGTGATAGCATTATTAAAAAAAAAAAAGAATGGTGAGAATGTTGAGGAAGAGAGGAGGGGAGAGAAATAGACAAAAGGAAAAAGAAATGTAGAGAATAAAGGAAGGGAACAAGAGCAAAACAAAGATCATTTACCTTATTGTAATTGTATTGTTATTTATTAGGTGCCAAACTAGAAGAAGAACAAGTGAAGGAGACGATGATAGCGTGGGAAATTTTGGGGGGGTATGCTATAGAATTAGATAAGTGGCAGAAGCTATGGAAAAAAAACTATAAATTAACAGTATTGAAGGCATATAAAGAAAATTTGTATAAGATGTTTTTATAGATGGAACTTTGCACAGGCAAAATTGGCAAAGATATTAAAAGATAAATCAGCCATCAGCTGGAAGTGCCATCAAATAGCTGGATCATACTACCATATGTGGTAGACATGAGCAGAAGCTAAAAGATACTGGACAAAAGTACACACGTGGTTGGAAAAAATGATAAAGCAACATATAGATTTAAAACCTGAAATATTCCTTTTAGGGATGGTACCTGAAAGCTATGCCACAGAAAAAGTATATTTAATTATTTATGTATTAACTGCAGCTAGAATTGTATTTGCTCAGAATTGGAAAAGCGAAAAAATTCCAGTAGGGGGAAGATTGAGAAAATATTTGAATGTGCAGAGATAAATAGATTAACATTGGCAATTAAAAAAAAGAAGAAACTGTATACTATATATATGGTATGAGATCTATTTTATCAATGGTTGGAAAATAAAGAAATAAGTTAAAATTAAGTAGGTGAACATACAGAGAAATAAGTTAAGATCATTATAAAGACAAAATATGTAAGCAACAATGGTTTATAAAGAAAATGTGATTACTGATATTTTGGCAAAGAAAGTATGTTAATTATAATTGCTAGCACAAGATATATGTACCCAGTCAACACACTGTATAAATGAAAGATAGACTTGTAAATATAAAATAAAAAAACTTAATTAAAAAAGTATAAATTAGTTAATACTGATAAAATTTGCATTGCATTTGAAAAGATAGCCAAAATAAGAAAAAATAGGGCACAAAAATATTAAAGCTTTTGGATTTCTAAAAGATAAAAAATAGGGGAAAGATGCAAGGTCCTGAAACAGAACAGAGAATTGAATCTTAGCTAAATTTCAACATTCCTCGCATGGTTTATACAGAATACCAATTCTTTTCTAATTATAATATTGCACAGGAAGAATTCAAAACTTGGTACACCACTTCAGCCACAACAAATGTTATGACAGTCAGTGAACTGAGGAAGAAGAAACCTTCTATAAATACCATACACAGAACAACACAAAACACACACTCTACTAGAGAGAAGTTCCTTGAAGAGAGGTTCCAGTATGAGTCTGAAGGTTCAGAAGACAAAACCACTGGACCTGGACATTGACCCAGATTGGATCCTGCAACATTATCCTGGGACACATATATTTGCCTTCATTTGTAAGAAAAAAAAAACTGCTCCTGAAGGCAATTTTTTTGTACTAACAATGATATCTTTTCAAAAAAGAGAAGACCTACAGACCTTGAGTTCGAGAACATTTCTTATCAGTGACAAGGGTTTCTGGACCCCTGCCTAGAACTACAGTCACACCATCCGGCAAAAGAACTGGATCATGTCGCTTATCTTGACTGATGAGAAAGCACTGCATACTGGTGAGCATCCTGCAAGCAACGAGAGACATTTGGCTTCCAAGTACCATAGTGCCATGTTTAGTTTTCCATGATCCCCAACATAGTAAATCCCACTGAAAGCATGCAAGAAATACATCCCACACTAAGAACATGTGTTGAACTTTGGGAGCAGGTTGAGAAATTGTTGCATGAAGAGAAAGCTAAATTTAGAAAGCATTGTTCTCAGAGACATTATATCAGTGTAGACAACTTGAAGATGTGTAGACTTCAACTCCCAGAATTCCCTAGCCAACATGGCAGTCTAGATAATTCTGGGAGTTCAAATCGCTCAACTTCAAGTGCCAAGGTTGAGAAATATTGCTATAAATCAAATAGAGAAATAAAAAAGTGGTAAGAAATGGAAACAATATATATATATATGGATCTTTGGTTATTCGGGTTTTCTCCCGCGTAAGATTGGAAGTATCTACGCAACGTTTCGCTGAAGTCTCATTCATCATTTTCAGGCTTGTGTCTTCGGCTCTGTGCTTCTCAGAGTGAAGAGCCGAAGACACAAACCTGAAGATGATGAATGAGACTTCATCGAAACATTGCGTAGATACTTCCAATCTTACGCGGGAGAAAACCCGAATAACCAAAGATCCACATACAAATCCCCGCGAGAACCTCAGAGAAAATAAATAAATAAATATATCTCTCCTTACAAGGAATGTTAATTATTTCAAATTAACTATTTAAATTATCTGAACATATGATCTAAATTAGTGTTTCTTAAAAACTTTTTGCATTTAGGATTCCTTCCCACTTTTACAAAAACTGCAGAGGACCCCAAAACACTTTTGTTTGTATATTTATCAATATTTGTCCTATTAAAAATTAAAACCAATGCATTTGCAGAATATTTATTGAATCATGTAAAATAACATTAAACTCATGGGATGTTAATATAAAGTATATTTCACAAAACTCCTTTTAAATATTGAAAATATTTGCAAACATTTAAAACAATGTCATGTATATAAATGACATTGTTTTAAACGTTTGCAAATATTTTTTAATATCTGGCAAATCATTTTTATTTCAGATCCCTAAGAGAGTCCTGGGGAAGATCCCTAAGAGTCCTTAAAAATACAGTTCTAAATGATTTAAAATTATGGGTAGCAGCCAAAAAAAAACTGGAAAAAAGAGGAAATAATTCAACAACCTGGACTGGGATTATATACGTTTACGCGTTTAGAAAGAGGTCTTCTTTTTATGAAAGGATTTCAGGTTCTCTCGCCCACGTGAAGTGAAAAGCAAAAGTTCCACTTTATCAAGGCTCCTAACTAGTAAATGGGACCATAACAATCTTATTCTGCATCTGCAAAAACACGAAGACCTAGCTGAGACGTTATTCCAGAATACGAAGTCCCGAAAGGCGGAACAACACCTTCCACTGATCCGAGTAGGAAGTGAACTTCATCCGCCTTTGGACGAAACAGTTTGTGAAGCTTTCATCCAAGATATTCCGCTCTCTATAGAGGTAGGAAACTAGAGAAAGACGCTCTATCTTCACTGGGAGGAGAAAACGAAAGGCATTCAATGTTCATGTCCTAAGGATGCAAAGAGTCATAAAGCTGGAAAAAAAAATAATCCGCTTTTAGAGGGAGATTTTCATTAAGGCTCTAAAGCTGCAGCCCCGCACACTTTTGCCCAGGACAAAGGCTCACTAAGCACAAAATCGGAGTGTCACCTCCCCTTTCAGAATTCAACCTTTCCTGATTCATTCTGTGTAGGGTCTATCTATCTATCTATCTATCTATCTATCTATCTATCTATCTATCTATCTATCTCCGCAGAGATGGATTCTTCATTATTAAAATTTTCAATAACCCCCCCCCCCCCACCGCACGCAGGTGTGGGAAAGCGAGAGTTGCCATGCAGTTGTTGACACAGATTGCAGGGAAAAGATTAAAGCTCCTTTATTCTCCTGGGTTCTTGCTGCCATCAACCCTGCAGCCCCCGCCCTCCTCCGCCATCAACATTCCCCAACCTGGTGCTCTCCAGATATAATTAACCGTTCCCATCCACTGGTGGGGAAGTCTGGTATTGTCCTCCAACAACGCGTCTGGAGGGGGGGAGGGTACCAAGTGGAGAAGGGAAGCACACCCAGACACGGCGGGGAAGGAAAAGTCACAGGTTCTTCGACTGTGCTCAGAACGATGTAGTTAGAAATTGCTTGTAGGGATAGATTGTCATTCAGAAAATGTATCTGTGGGATTGCTGGTGAAAAACGATTTGATGGCATATAATAATAGTTATTAAAAAAAAAAAACCTGCCCATCGAGTAAGCGACAAATTACCCTCCCCAAACACACCTTAGGCTGCGGCAAAGGTCGGTCTGGTCAAATGGCCCAAATTCGGTGCTGAGCGATCCGCAGAAGCAACAGCTTCATACTCCAGGGACTGGTTGGCGTCAGACCAGCCGATTTAGTGAAGCACGGTCACAATTTGGGTCGGAAATAGTATACAACTCTCTATTCTTATCTCTACCGTAGCCCGGCGCTTCGACTAGGCCCCCTTCCGGGGGCGCACGAGAAGGACTGGAAATGAGTTCCGGCAACTTTGGTTCCCTTTCAAGTTGTTCCCTGGGAGTGAAGGGACTCCTGTGACAATAGGATATGTAATTTGGGAGCCTGCGTCGGTCCTAAATAATAACCGGTAAAATAGCCTGTAATCTTTTTAAAGCTTGATGCTGTTACAAACAAAAAGATATGCAACATGGATGTGGTTGGGATAAGAGGGCTTACATTTCTAAAGTGAGAATTGCCGTGAATGATCATGTCACTCTGGGATATTAGTACTAGCTGGGGAATTCTGGCAAATTCCACAATTTCTTAAATTGTTGAAGATGAGAAACACTGAGGTATGCCTTTCTTTCTGCCCCTTTTTAATCATTTATGGTTAGATTCCACATTAAGAAATCTGAAGCGGTTTACTTTGTGAAGGGGAATTCACAGGCATGATGATCAGGAATTATTGTGCAAAAAGATTTGAAGGTTTCTGGATTTTTAAAAAAAACTTTTAACTTTCCATGAAATGCATTTAATCAAATATATTATAAAATACCACATGATTAATAGTACTAATTTCCTTCTGTTTATTACAGTTTCAGAAATATGCATTCTAACCCTTCTGTTATGTACTTCTAGCAATGTTAGAAGAAGTAATATTAATTTAACCATAAAGTGGCATTTATAAAGAAAATTGATTTGGTAAATGGCTTGATTTGTAAATACCCTTTCAGTAACCATTTGGTTCACAAACAAGTTCACAGTTTAAAAACCCTAAAAACACTGAAGGCTAATATTGAAAACTTAAATGCTATAATTATTCTCTGGAACAAACTTTATTTTCTAGCAATATAATACTATTCTGCAATTACCTGTAACTGACCATCACTACTGTTTGCCCCCCTTGCTAATCTCCAGAGTCCTGGGACTGTTTGACCCATGATTAAAAACAAAGCTGAGAATCAATATTTCATTAAGAGAGCAGCAGATTTTTTTGACCTCAGGTCAGGTTGTATCAAATATGATGGAGAGTTATGATCCTCTTTAATAGGATTGTCTGCTGGGTTCAAGAAACAAGCTAAAAACAGCTGTGGATATGGGCAGGAAGTAACAGAGTTCAAAATTATTGTCCTCATAAAGCTGCTCCTAACATAGCCAGGAGGAAATAAATATGATACCATGAATATTGATTTCTCAATGAAATCAACCACATTTGAAACAGTTTTAACTGGATAATGGTACAGGAGAAAGACTAAATGCCTGATTTGCTCACTTAAATTTGCCTAGGCATGTTTAGTTTTTTGTCTGCTATGAGGTTTTCTTAACAAATTTTAAAAGTACAATTTGTTTTACTGACCAGACATTACCTATGTTGAAAATACCAAGAGGAAAATTCAGGTTAAATGCTGCCTTTTGTCTATTTACAAACACACAACATCCCCTCCTGCATATAAAGGATCTTTGGTCATGTGCAGGCTGAAATGGATACAATATTCTTTGTATTTCCCAGAACTGAGTGGGTTAATCAAAAGTCTTAGGTGATCCAACTTTTTTTTAACCCTAGAATCTTAATCATCCAGTAGATGTAATTTTAAAGTATAAACCAACCAGGTTTTCTTCTCCAGCAAGTCACAAAAGTATTTACATGATTAGGAGTATGTTCTTTTGGCTTGCAAGTATCAACCATGCTGTTGTCTGTGAATTCCAGCCATTAGAACTGGTGCATATATCGTCAGTTAGAAAAGTTCTAGTTTCTACTCATTGTTATATTAGAAAATGATATCACACATGACTTCACTTACTCACACTTGCAAGTGCATGGCCCCTTGGCTGATTGAAAGGCAACTAGGAATGAGATGTCAAGCAAACATGCACTAGAGAAATTAATGTCAGCCTGGATTGTCCATATAAAGACTTATGGAGCTAATTATCTTAAGAATACAGAAAGTTGTTTTGTAATAGGTCATATCGTTGCATTATCTATTTTCATTGATAATAGGTTTAGAGCTTTCAGGAAATAAGAAAATGTTTCTATCACCTGCTACATCAAGATTTTTTTGACAGGAATGCCATGGACTGAACCTTGGGCCTCCTGCATTTGAAGCATGGACTTTAATTAATTCCCATTTATTCCTTTAAAGCATAGCATGTCCTACCTATTCCCATTAATATTATTATTCCCATTTTATTTATTTATTTAGCGTATGGCATGTATTTAGCCAGGGATCACTGAGGTGGTGTTATCTTTACCCGCAGGACACCTGCATGCCAGTAGGCAATCGGGGGAGGCTCCTTTCTTGTCCCTCCGTGGTTTATTCGCTCACGGAAATCAAGCCACTGAGCTGCTGGCCTCGGTGGTGAGCAAACCCAGCATCTTACCATGTGAGCCACCGTGGCACCTATATCAAGTTTATCATCAAATTTCCATCCAAAAGCTCTGAGCACTATACCAGAACCACAATTTCTTGCTAATTTATGTCAGGAATCATGGGAAAACCAAAGTATAACCAATAAAAACGAAGAACATTTTCTCAAACACCCCAGAAAAGCTAATCTAATCAGGTTTGCATCACATTATTTCTTTTTGAACTTTGAGGAGCTCAATGTAATTGTGGTCTAGCCATCAAAAGATTGCCCATCTCAGTATTTACACAAATATATTATTTTAGCAATAGCACTTAAATACCACTCCATATAACAGCACTCTGAGTGGTTTACAATGTTCTGAGTCTTCATTTTACTGACTGCAAACAAAAGTAGCAGCTGATTCAGTTATTAATATAAGTATAGGACAGGATTATTATCTATTGTGTTTGCATGTCTGGCATATCAGTTTTTTAATTGTCCACATTTCTTTCTCACTGAAATGCTGTGAGGTAGATAATTCCTATTTCCAATGAAGAAAACTAAAGTCAGACGTAAGGTATTTTGTAGCTGAACTGAAATGTGATCCTGAATTCTCTCAAATATTTCCTGCTGAAGTCTACATTTTAATTCTCTGAGAGATCAGATGTTGAGACACTTTTGGGATTTTGTGAACAGCAGCAGCTGATATTTCTTCCCTGTCTTTTTTCATGTGCCATGGAAAAGTTCAATCTGTAAGAAAAGAGATCAACAAAAGATGTGAACTACTGTACTATTCTGTTACATCCAAATAATCCACTAGGGGGCAGTGATTCTCATTAGTCTTAGATGAGATTAATTGTACAGGTAGTCCTCGATTTATAGAGTTCATTTAATAACCGTTTGAAACTACAGTGGTCCTGAAAAAGTGATCATTTTTCACAAAACTATTGCAGCATCCCCATGGTCACATGATCAAAGTTTGACTACTTGGCAAATGACTCGTATGTCCTGGCATCATGTGATCATCTTTTGCAACCTTCTGACAAGCAAAGTCAATGAGAGCCAAATTCATGTAACAACGGTGTTATTTAACAACAGCAACTGTAGCAAAAAAGGTCATAAAATAAGCTAAATTCATTTAATAACTGGCTCTCTTAGCAACAGATATTTGAGACTCAATTATGGTAGTAAGACAAAGACTACTTGTATTCTGTTGGGGAGTGTTTCTTCTGAAATAAGTGGGATTTTCCTCATCAGAGGAATAAATAATTTGATTTTCCCATTCCACACTTGGCAATTAATCTGATTGTTAGCAACTCTTTCCACCCCTCAGAGTGATGCTACTTGATCTTTACCAAAAACAACTTGTGTGAAGAATAAAGAGAACCAAGGATCAAGAAGATTTGGGGTGCCATCGCATCTAATTATTGTTCCTTTCAGGAACTCTAGTAATCTAGCTATAGTTTGTCACATTCTTATAATGGAACTCAAATTGTCCAGTAATACCAGACAGTCTAGTTAATCAAGAGTGCATGCCATCTACATCCACATGATTGCTGTATTCCTTTTCACCACAACTTACACCCGTCTTTGTTTTGCAAAGGAAACACAGAAGATACAGCGTAGATGCAGTTAACTAAAAAAGGGAGATAATTTTCTTAAACCTGAATTTCAAGCTCTGTTGAATGTCAAGAATGTGAATCGTGATTGTATAGAAATTAAATAAATAACATCAATTGAAAGTACAGTATAATTAAAACACTGTTTTTTAAGTGCATGATTGCTTTTTCTAAAATAGTAAAAAAAAATTGGAGGAGGAGGTTGAAGTAAAACTATCTTAGATCATAGAATTCTTTATTGGCCAAGTGTGATTGGACACACAAGGAATTTGTCTTGGTGCAAATGCTCTTGGTGTACATAAAAGAAAAGATACATTCATCATGAGTCAAGAATCATAAGGTGCAATATTTAATAATAGTCATAGGGTAGAATAAGTAATCAAATCATACTAGGAAACAGTCCATATAAATCGTAAGGATACAAGCGACAAAGTTACCGTCATACAGTCACAAGTGGGAGGGGATGGATGAAAAGGAGAGATGAGAAGATTAATAGTAATAATATCTCTAAATCAGTGTAGCACCCCAAGCTCCAAATTATTTTTTACCATTCTTTTCTTGCAAGAGCTGTGAAAGAAGACTACTTCAGATGGGGATTATCTAACCTCTCTGTGTTCACAATGAAGCTATGGGAAGATCCAAAATGGTTCTTTACCACTGACAGAATTCATAGAATTAATTATAGCATAAAGAGCCTCAAAAGAAGCTGTGAAGGAGGTGGCCCAAAAGAAGCTGTAAATTATGTAAATCTATAGGTGTTGTGACACACCTTTCCTAAGAAGGCCGATAATAAGAAAAGAGGAAGGATGCAAATATAATGACATCAGTGAAGATACTGGAACAACTTAGCCTAATCCAACAAAAGAAAAGAAGGTGCTCTACTCTTTCCTGTCTGTTTTGTTGGTCTGAGTATGATGGAGCTTAGGAATAAGGTGGTTCTGTCAGCTCTGGATTTCACCACCCTTACCAATAAGGAAGCTTTCCAGAGGAATGTATTTATTGAACCCAACACATTTTGCATTTCTTCAAAGGGGTGTGGAAACTAACATCTCTGCTTCTAATTCTCTTGCAAGAGATTCTGTTGCATGGCCGCCTCATCAAATCTAGAGAAGTCTTGGATTATTCTTCTCCATTTTTTGCCCTCTAGATGGAAATATGAAAAGGAACTAAGTATCCCCATGCCTATGAAGTTTTTCTTCAGCAATTTGCCAACTTTTCTGAAGTTCATTCCCTACAGATTCATTCATGGCGAATTTTGCATATAGATTACATGTAGATACATGCACACATGCACATTAAGAGATCTACATGGATAAATGCTATCCTTTACTTAGAATAATGCTTATTTGTCCATTAAATATACATATCCTTAAGTATTTCTGAATTTTCCTATCTACTTACCTTTTTTTTGAATAGGTGGAACTTGTTTTCCTTTTGCTATGTCACTCTGGGCCAAGATATCTACTATCCAAGACAAGGCACTGGTACAATACTCCATCTATTGTGAGTAAATGAAAGAAACATATTTGGGAGGCAGTCTTTTTGAAGGTTTATGGGATATAGTTGTCATATTGTGATTTTCTTGTTGATGGCTTAGCCAACCAGTGTGGCTTTAAAAAAATTAAAACATTGTTAAAACCAGTTGTGATTCCTTTAGATGTATTTAATCCATTTAGTGAAAAAGTGAAATTTCAGTCTTAGAGGAGAAATCTGTGGTTGGTGTACTACAACAGCCAGCTCTGGTTGGTATGTGAGCTGGAGAGAAAAAGTCAACAACATATTGAAGGCCAAAGATTCCCCTATCCGCGAATTACTCTCTTAATATGACAGGCCTTTTTTCATCTACTGCTGCTACTTTTCACCTTTGCCTTTGTCCTATCAGTTCCCATTTTCCTCCCATTTCAAAGAATCCATTACTATTCCCATACCTGCATCTCAAGGGTCTTCAGACGTCGCTCTGATTCTTTGATGTCAGAAAGCTGCTTTAAAACCTGATCGACTCTGCAGAATTAGAGGTGTGAGGCAGTTACAAAGAAAGAACACAGTCAGTCTTTTTCCTCTGTAGGGGCTTGAGACAATATTTTATCCTCTCTGATAGTCTCCTATATTTGATTCCAAAGCTCTCATTTCCCCCACAAAAGGATGCTAGAAGTACTTTTGCTCTAATACATCTAGGCAGAAAGATTGGATTATAGGAAATTATAGACAAGCTTTTTTAGAAGGAAGGGTGAACACTTTCCAATCTCAATATTGAGTAAAGAAATTGATTTAGGTGTGCATCAGTATTAATAGTTGATACTTAGAGCCATTGAAATGAATAGGACAAACTAGTAATAGCTAATGTAAATCCTATGGGTTATAGTGGGTCTTCCTAAATATGGAATTTCCATATTGTATTTGGAACACAGGCATGGTGAAGAAAGTGTTTTTAAGAGGAGAATGCACCATCCAGAAAGTCTGCAAAGCTACAGCCCCCAACACACACACACACACACACACACACACACACACACACACACACACACACAAAATACTTGCAACAACTCTATAATGGTTCTGAATGCAGCCTAAGGCACCTTCCAGAAACATTTGACTGCATTTTACCACACTATTGTTCATTTTAGGAATGGTTGATCAATAAACAGGGAAGATTCTCCAGATGTAGCATGCATAGAAACTTTTGTTCTCATTTCCCAAGCAATATCTCTGGAAGAAGCTACTAAAAATATCTGAAACAAATCAGGTTTAGGAAATCTGTCTGTAACATGCTTTTCTTAATTAAAAATGGACATGAAATTTTATCTAAAACTAGCTCGATAGCCGTGCTTCGCTACAAAATTATGTGGTCGGGCTTAGTTTGGGGGGAGGAAAATGAGGGGAAAAAATGTCCCTCTACCTACCAGCATCCATCAGTATTCATCTGGCTAGTATCCTGTCAGTTTGTGAGAGAGTTGAGGGCTGTTTGGAAACTGAAGCAGTATTTGTTGTGTGAGCAAGAAGGAGACAGCAAGAAGCCTGGGTGTGGCTTAGCTCAACTGATCTGTACTAAAGCTGCTTGGGGCTCTGAAACTAAAACTGAAATTCTTCTCCTCTGCTTGTGTTTTGCATTTGGAACAGATTTGTTTTCAGGTGGGGCGGGGGAGTAGAATTCCTTAGCATCAGAGCATGTTAATAATAATATAGGAAATACTAATGCTCTGAGGGTTATTTTGAAAAATCCTTTCTTAGTGAGCACCTAGAGACCAAGAGGAACATACGTGCCAAATTTCAAGTTTGTAGGCTTTACATTCTGGAGATTTTGTGATGATGTGTGAGTGGTATTTTGATTATATAAATATATATATAGATTTCAGTGTAAATTGATTTGATCTGCACATTCTGGTCAGACATGCTGGGATTGTAAATGCACTTGTATTTTGGATTTTGCATTTCTTTGCATTTGATGAAATATTCATGATTCAATATATTTTAAAACATATTTTGAAATTAAATGATTAAATTGCATTTTTAAGAAAATGTTAAAATACCTATTTTAATTCAATTTTCACAAACTTTTAAAACATTTCAGGATAAAAAAAATACCTTAATTAACAAAAAAAACCTGATTCAATTTGGACTTAAACTGATCAGTCCTTCTCTAATCTCAACCTCCTCCTTCCTCTTTATTGTCTTCTATTCCCCATTCTTACTTTTGGGAAGTTCTCCGAAGTCGCTCAGTGTCGCTGTCACGTTTCTGTCGAGCCTGGGATACTAAGTAATTTTCTTTCTGTACTGATTCCCATGTCAGTAGTCGCCTATTTTGGATGTCAGAGAGTTCTAGCACTGTCCAAAATAGATTAATTATTGGTTCACAGAATGATAATGATTCAGGAGTCAGTTTAGTAAACAGTTACCTGCAAGTCTATCCATTATTGGTGAAAAGAAATGGCTCCTCACTAATTGATGTACAATGCAAGTCTCTGCCCTAATGGATCAGTGGATCAGTTAGCTGTAAATCAGAAATAGTTCTGAAATTCTTGAAACCATATCTCTGTCATCTCAGTAAACCTTATTAATGATTCTCACAGAGGGAGAATTTTGCTTGGAAAAAGAGGAAAACTTGGGAAGGAGCCAAAAGTCAGGCACCTTCGGTGCAGAACCAAGGCAATAATGATTGATAATGACATAGAGTTAGAATTAATCATTTTTGATAATCATAAAGAGCTGATATAGAACAGTGATTTCAGCATTATTGCTGATCTAGTTACTTGCTCTTCATCTGTAAATCTATTTTGTGGAGATGAACATAGGAAAGTCCTTTCTTTGCCACCTTGAGCTTTCAGTTGAATGGCAAAATATAAAGACAACCAATGAATGAACGAATGACCTTGAAAAACCTTCCCATATCTGATGTTCTCTAGATTGGTTAACACTGCAAGAGTTCCAGCATTCCTAGGCAGGTTATCTCTATCTATCCCAAAATTGCCTATAGCACTCACAGAAGTCACGTCTCTTTGCCGACTGCACCTTGTGGATATGACGCTTGCACAAAAGATGTAGGTGGCTGATCAGGATGAAGGGTGGAGCCAATGCAGGCCGGCTATGATACTCCAAGATAAGGTTGTAACGCTGTGATTTCCAGTAGATATCACTGTTGCCTTGCACTTTGGAGAACGTGTAACTATTAGTCGGGGAAACAATATGTTAGTCCTACCTTTCTCCAAACTGGAAGAGTCAACTTCAAACTGAATGGCTCATCCCTTAGCTGGCACACAATCGTAGACAGCATATGGATGGAAAAGAAACATGAACCAACATATTTCTACATTTCCTGTTCTACATGAACATCTCAACAAAAGACCATACTGTTTAATCAGAACAATTAAGGGTGGGTTAAAGAAAATGTACAGGTGCAGCCGTCTTGTTCTATCATTCACTGGCCTAGCAGCAAATATTTTTCTTTCCCTGAACTTGAGCCATGGAAAAAGTTATAAAAATATTGTGAATGTATTTTCATAAATATATGACACTGCCATGTTTGAAGTATGATCATAGAATTAATTCAACAGCTTATTCTTTAACTATTTTTTTGAAGCTATTTTGCTGAAAACTGAACTTGAAATGGCTAAAATAGTTACAGTCTAAATTACTTTTGAAAAGTATAATGTCCTATTGAACTAGGTTTGGACCATAATCTTATTCCAATTTTTATTATTATTATTTTTATTATGGAGATTTGTGTAAGGACTTTTTAAAAGATTTTTTTTTAATCCTGTTTTGATAGAATTGAGGTCGTGGTACCTGAACATTGCAATCAGCAAGTTGAGGAGCAGAATATTGGCTACCAACAGGAAGATCACAAGAAGAATGAGCACCAGCCAATTAGCATAGGTATTGGTACACGGATTCGCGTCCTCCATCAAAATGGCTAAGGGGTCATAGGTGCAATTCGAGGCTGTAATCTGGGCAGCTAGGGAAGAGTATCAAAGGAAAAAATGAGATGAAAGTCATAGATTGAGGAAGATTTTACTACTGCCTGTCTAGAAGAAAGAATGCACCAAATTCTTGTATAGGGTTGTTTTAGCCCTAGATGGTTTAGTGTTTAATTACCTGTCTACATATTTGGTTTCCTTCAGTTCTTTGGGTTTATAGTTGGGCTTACAGTTCTCATCAGTTGTGGAACCTGGCTATATCAGTTGGGACTGATGGAAGTTATGGCCCAAAAGTTTTGGTGTGAAGGGGCTGTTCTGGAATAAAAGGTAAAACTCTTAAAAAATATCTACTGGATCAGATTAGCCTGCAGAATGCAGAGTCCCATTCCTATCAGTAGCCACCCAAATACTTTACAGAAACTATAGGTTTCTCAAACAGACCCCTTCATAAAGGTGGCCCTGTCTCTCCTTATTTGCCAACTAGCATTTAATATTCTGAAGTATACTATTAAGCTTGTATAAAAATATGAAGGCCTAGTGGGAAGAGGGAAAAAAAACTTTAAAAATATTTCAAATTATTTCCTTTTTTTCTCCACAAGATTTTACAGCTCTAAGCTTGCAAAGACTATTAAATTGTCATGGCCAACAGCTCTTGTCCAGTCTCATTCTAAGTTGATCTAAATAATTGGTCAATATTTCATAGTCAATGAATTCCTTATATTCATAATGCACAATACGAAAAACTGTTTCTTTATGCCCTTTCAAAAGCCTACACTTAATTTTATTAGTTGTTTCCATCTTATTTTTTAATTAACACTCTCAATATTGTAATTGTCTTGCTTTTTATATTTTCCATCTTAGACTATCTCTGTCATATATTTAGGAACGAGCTTTATCACCGTAGCTAACCGACATTCCATGCAGGTGAGGGAGCAGACTGTCAGAAAAGAGATGGAAAGCTCTATCTTTTTTCTGCATTAGCAGAGAAACTAAATCAAATATAAATAAATAAGAAATAAAGGAGTTGTTTAACAATCCTCAGCAGGCAATTGCCTATTTGGTACTTTATCTATAACATGCACTACTCTTTCCTGGGTTTCAACAGGCCAAACTGGATGAGAATCAGAGAAGTCAGCAAGCACCCCCAAAATACACACCATCAATTTCACCGAGTGGGATCTGTCCAAAAATTTGCAAGTAAGGTCGGTAGAAAACACGTCGAAATATCCAAGGGATTCTTCGATCGTGTGGGAGAAGAAGACCCTCAGTCGTGACCCCATAGGCTACCAGCCATACCCCAAGGAAGAACAGAAAGAAAAATACATCCTTCATCTAGGAAGAGAAGGAGAGAACAAAGGAAATTATTCCACCCATCTCACCTAGCGGCAATTCTAGGTTTCTTGCAATGATATAAAGCAACAAGATAAAACATTAAAACAGACATGTCCAACTTGCAGCCTCACAAGATCGTAAACTTTTAACATTACTGTGTGATATTTAGTTATATTTACTATATTATTATTGTTGTTGTTATTATTAAATTTATTTGCTGCCTATCTTACCATGAGCTATTCTAGGCAGATCGCAACCATAAAAACCATGAAATAAAAAGGAAATTAAAACAATGCAAAAATAAAATAATAGAACAATAAAAAAATAAAATTACATATTTTGTATGCAGCCCAAGCCTCTTAACTCAATGCAGTTTGGACATGCGTGCATTAAAACATGAAAATAAATAAATGCTAATATTAAAATTGACTTAAAAATTAACAAAGATGTCATGGAAGAGAACAAGACGCATGTGAGAAGGAGGTGGGGTCTAAACTGTCTGTTAACCACCTCTATTATGACAAAACCAGGTTTGAAGGCCTTTTTGGAAGACCAAGATGAGGGTGAGGGTGGATCTTATTGGGAGGTGGGGGAGTATGATATTCCAGAGGATAGGAATTATGACAGGATAGGCTCTTTTGGACCCAGCCATCCAGAATTCCTTGACCAACAGGGTCTGCAGCATGCTCCTTCTGCCAGCACAGGTAGGGTGGGCCAGTCAATTGCCATATTGAAAGACAATTTGCTCTCCTATGTTAAATCCAATAGACTTTGCAGCTCTATTTCATTTGCACTTGGCTTAAATTTCGTTAGACAGTGCCTGTTCATTCTTAAGCAAACAAACAACCCTCCTGCGTATTCAACAATCCTCTTTCTGTGTATTATTCCATGTGCATAAAAAGTGCACCTTCTCACCATCTTGCCAACGATAATCATCTTCGGCCCCAACTGTTTGTTCACTGCAAAGATGTGGATGAGTCGAAGGGTGAAGATCATGAAATCCAGGCACAGAATGGTGCGTCCTGATTCATATGATGAAGGAAACAGCCTGTGATTTAGACAGTGGAGTAAAGAAAAAGAAAAAAGAAAAGAAACTGATTCGAAACACTACCATTTCTCTTTATCTCCAGCTGTATTAATCACTGATCTCACAAGCTCACTCAAAAACATCAGAATAAAAGAATAGTACTGAAGTCTTACAATCCAGAAGAGCACTTACCTGCACACTAGCCCCACCATGAAGAGTAGCAGGGCCGTGATATCAAACTGGTTCCAGGTGTCCAGGAAGTACTGTTGTACTCTCTGCAACAAAGGACGGGAACCCACAAAACATCCTTGACGCACCTCTTCACAAACTAGTGTGAAGACCCAGATGTACAGAACTATCTCAGTGCCCGATGGACCTTTGGGAGGTGGAGGGTCAAAATCCAGCAGCAGGACGTAGGAGAAGAGGAAGAGGAAGAGCAAGTACATCACCACATTGCCCAGGAATGCTGTCACAGGTGCCATCCAGAATTGATGCCACCGTCGTAGCCAGAGTTGTCGAACAGAAAGAGGGGAAGGAGGTTCCAAACTTCTAAGATATGAAAAGGAAAAGAAAGGAGAAACGTTTTGAGTTCTACTAGTAAATTGACTCTATTGCTTGAATAATTAATTCATTAATTAAATATATTTACATATGAATAAATGTTTGTCAACAACTTCAAAATGTCCCTCCTGAAAAGAGGTGATTTAAATAAACAAGAAGTGTTCTTTTTTTTTTTTTTTAAAGGACTTTAAGCTTCCATCAATACCTGGGCAGTGGGGAATGCTAGAAGTTGTAGTTCACCTAAATTTCAAGGACCACAGTTTCCATTCCACATTTTAACATTACTTTTTGACAAAAGCTGGATATTCACCGGGGTAGGGGGGAACCCAGAATAGCTTGAAGAGATCCAGGCCTCCCATCAGTCCCATGCATCAACAGCCTTCATTTATGATAGCCCATACTTCCATCCTCCCACAAACCCATGTTCCCAAAATCATGACCATTCCCCCTACTCAGACAACATGTCTCCGATGGTACTTTTCACATCTGTATCAAGACTGTCCAGTTCAAACTGTTCCAAGGAATCCAGACGCAGATCATCATCCATGTTCCTATTAAAGATCACATTATGGATCAGCATGACCACCTTGACCACATTTAAATGCAGATGCTAAAATTTAGCCATAAAATTTAATGCTAGAAATTAAATTGACTGCTAGAAATTCCAGGGACGAGGACTTAAAATTTGAATGCATTTGTTCCACTTGTTCTGGAAGGTGGATTAATTGTCCTGTGGCAGATCAATTGCAGGTTTTGAAAGGACTGTTCAAAAGAGAACGGTTGCTCTGGAGCTATAACAGAACATGAATAGGTAAATATACCTATTCATGCTCTGTTATATAAAGAAACACTCAGTACTTTTTATATTCAAGAATTGCAGTTACTACTGTAAATAACTACAGTAGCTACATTGTAGGCTGCCAGCAATGTACAGTTCCTCTCTGCCACACTGTTAAGTGTCAATCAAACCATGCCCAGTAGCACCCACCTGAATGTAATGAGTTCAGAAAAGATGAGAGGGGGGCAAAAAAAGGTTAGAAGAAGCTTCCAGACAGAGGTACTTCGGTCCATTTCTCCCCACCAGTTTTGGGTAAGCAGGGACTATTAGAAGAACACAAGAGAGAGAGAGAGCGCTGAAAAATACAGAGACCAGCCATAATGTCACTATTGTGTGTAATTCAATAATTAGCTTAAGAAGCTGCTTATTAATATTTGTACTAGTTTAGTTTCCCCCATTGACAAAGCTTGTCAACTAAGTGAAAGGCAGGGATAAGGTCAATAAAACTGACAAAGATGTGTTTTGTGTGCCTTTTGTTATATTTTTTAATAAGGGCCTTCAAACTAGTGCAGGGGTGTACCGTGCTGTCCTTTTGGAAATCTTGCCTGCTCTGAAGAAAAAGTTTTACTTCTCCTTCCCAATCTTCTGGTTTTAGAAAATGTCTGAGATAGAGCTTAGAAGAAATGTCCAGCAGATTAATTGCATGGTAATTAGCAGGTTCCATTTAAAGGTTGGGTATATTATGCTTTGTTTCCAGTTGGGAGATTCAACACATGTTTTATCTATTTCTCAGAAAAGTTCTTGTCAGGATGGGGATCCACCAGGAATCATATATCTTGTCTGTCACTGGAAGAATCGTCCTAGTGAGGAACTTTTTCAAGGTTGGAATCAGCTGCTGAGAGACTCGGATTGTGAGACACCTGGCCACCTGGAAACATGCTTCATTTGGTAGAGACTGTTGCTAGCTCAGGATGTGGGCAGCTATAAATGGAAGAAAATGTTGGTCCAATTTTGGACTGAGATATCTACATGAAGCATGATGTGTGTGGAAATACCATTAGCCACAATTTCCAAAATTTCTTCTCATTTTTAAGCTAAGGCCAAGTTCCCTCTATTGATCTCTATAGTATGGCTTTATAATTTTACTATTAATTGCTATATTACTCTATTTTATGCCCTTCCTATATTATATGACCCCTGGTTATAATGATTTTATTTGCTTACATTCCATATCCTCACCCAACATTATTAGCATTCCATGTAGTGCTTAACAATACTTGTGCCCTGCAGTTTATAAATCTAAGCATTCAGAACCTAAGGACACCCAACTCATAGTCATCAATGGGAAGTAGGTTCATCCTAAGGCTGGAGCTTCCTCAAACAGCTGGTAGAACAAATCCAGGAATCAGAGTATTATAGAACTGGAAAAAACCTCAACAGTGATTTAGTTTATTGCTACATCATCATCAAACATTATAGCATACATAATAATTACCGGTACCCATCCAATTTTGATTTAAAAACCTCTGATGAAAAAAAAAAACACCCTCCATTGCCTAGGTAGCTTGCTCCACATGCCACCATATTATTTTAATGTTCAATGTACCTGCACACCATCCTGTGCAAAAAAGAGACGGGCATCAGCCTGGTGAGCCAGATGGAGGATAGTGGCTCCACCCCAGAGGTGGGAACAGCGCACCAGTAGTTTGTAGGCCCGTGGCTCACTATTACGGTAACATTCATTGAATACTCCTAGAATTGTGGAGTTAAGAGGGAGGAGAGAGATATTTGAGTATAAAAAGTCAAGGAATTACAATATTTGCACAATTCACAACTCCTTAATTTAAGGAACCGTTAATCATAGAACAAGATTAATATTAAAACTTTAAATGTAAATCGTTCTAAACTTGACTGTAAAAAATATCATTCTGTAACAGAATTGTCAAAGTCTGGAATGCCCTATCCAATTCAGTTGTCTCAGCTACAAATTTTCACAGTTTCAGGCACAAATTGACTTCCGTGGACCTTACTTCATACGTAAGTGGACAGTAGAGGGGATATCCATAAGTTCATTAATGGGCCTATTGTCCCTTCCCTGTCACTGTATTTTTATTCTCTTATTCTTTTTCTCATTTTTGTTTGACAATTTCCAATCAATCAATACAACTTTCAAAGACTTCCAAACAAACCATCTGTGTGCTAAGACTTTGCAATTCATGTCCACATTAATTGATAATAATTCTGATCTGTCTTTGGATCTTTCCCATATTCACACTGATATTCATACTGTTCATAGAGAAGGTCAAAATCAGAGGTTTTCCACTTGCTCTAAATAGGTCAGTAATCAATTGTCCTTTGTACTTAACTAAAATGTTCTGCGTGCTAACAAGAACAGTTTGAGTCTTCCAGTCCACAAAAATGATATAAAATCATTGTCTCACAATACTCTGATACATGCATGCCTATATATTTGTCTACATT